CAATATGTAGGCATTTTGTATACTATTTTACATCTTCCACTGAAGAGCTTATTACTTCCCTGCACACACATGCACACACACTATTGCTCCCTCCTTTCTATCTTTCTCAGACACATACATGTACAACACACTCAGTGCATGCCATATTGAGGGTATCAGACTCATAAATATTAATAAACACTAATCCTCTACAGATAATTCTTTTTTTTTACATATAAAGTTTTAACAGAAAAGGAAAACTTCTAAACACATAAGGAGCAAAATGAAAATCACCATCGCGATTTTTCTGAATCAACCAGTTGCTAACCAAACAAATAAAAGGACTTCGGAAAGGGACTTAGTGGCCGCACCATCAAAGTGGAATTCTTTTTTTTTTTTTTTTCCTTCTGGAGAGACACTTTCCTTTGGAGCCCCAATGAAATACGGTAACAGCGTAGGAGGGAAGCACACTGTTTCTTTAACTGCTTCTCAAAGGATCCGGGAGATCTTCTTAGGACCTTTAATAAGGCTTTGGTGAGGTTCTTTTGTTGATCTCTCAAAATCAACTCCTTCTAATTGAAGTTGGAGCTGAAAGCGAGCTAATGTTCAAAGGGAGCGACCGCCAGCTCGGCCAAATTACATTTTTTTCGTTGAGGGGACATTTAATCAAACGGAGGGGGGGGGGAGAGAGAGAAGGAGAGGGAGAAGAGGAGAAAAGAGGTTTACAAGATCCTTCTATTGCCCACAAAAGTCAGCGACACGGGCACTTCTCCGCGGAACAAAGCCGCCGCAGCCCATTCACAAAAAAAAGGGGGGGGGAGAAAGATGGGGAAGCAAAGGGGGTCTCTCTGGGGCCACTACCTTGCAAAGTCTAAGCAGGGCTAAGTGCCTTTAGGCGCTTGAGACATTGTCCATTTAGGAGACCATTTTTCGCTGCTGGGGGGGGGGGGGAATGGACCCGAGCTTTGAGAAGGAAGTTCTTCTGCAGCCCCATCCTCAGAACAAAATAGCTCCCTGCACCGCTATACTCCCATCCAAGATTAGAGATCTGGATCAGGCCGTCTCCCACGGAAATACTTTACAGCTACCTATCCGCTGGCATAACCCCTTCCTCTCTTGTGGCGGGGAACCGGGGATGGAGAGGGAAAGGAGGATGGCGTAGGGGAACATTGCTCGGGCCTTCGGAAATGAGCCTGGCAACCGCTGGTTCTCCCCGTCCCAGACTTCCAAGGAGGCGACCAAGTCGACAGAAAAGCTCAGAGTATCAAGTAGCACTAAACCCCTAAGCTTTACGCATTCTCTCTCCCTCTCCCTCTTTCTGTGTGTTTGTGCGTGTGTGTTTTCTCCCCCTGTAATAAGAGTATTTGTCTAATCCCAAATTGCAGGCGAATTTCCTTAATGCTCAGCCCATAAAACCCCTGGATTAAGGGCAGCAGAGGGGGGCACGAGCAAGCAGAGCCAGAAAGGAGGCGAGAAGCCAGAGAGCAGGCACAGGAAAAGTTGAGTCTGTGCTGGAAGGCGCCGGGGATGTGAGTCTCCCTGCCCAAGTGGCAGAGAGGAGCCCCTGGAAGAGGAAGCCCACCCCGAGAGGACATTGGCCTCCTCCTGCCTCTTAGCGCCTGGCCCTTTCCCAGCAAGCCGTGCCTAAACAGGCGGCTTCCCCGCTCCTCGAAGGATCACTTTGGGAAGGGCATCTCCTTCACCTTTTGGAACCAGCGGGCTCCCACTCCCGGCCTTGGCCGCCCTCGGGGCTTCTGGCCGGGCAAGCCTAGGGAAGGGCAGGAAGGTAAGCCGCAGCAGGGCAAGCAGCCCTTCTTTTTCTCTAGTCTAGGCGCTGCTGATGGGCCGAGGAGGGAAGGAGGTGGAAGGAGAAGCCAAGTGGCCTGTGCGAGAATAGGAGGTGGTCGGGCGAAGGGGGGGGGGGGAAGCTGCCTGAGGCCCCAAGTGCCCAGGAACCGAATCTGGCCGGCTCCCCCACCCTCCGCCAACGCCTCGCCTCCCAGATTAGCCCGCTTTGACTGTGGCTGTTCTCCAAACTCCGTCCCTTTGCCTCGCCCGCTGGTTGCGTCTGTCTTTGTGTAGTTAGAATCGCCGGGGTGCAGCTGCAGCGTCTGGAAGGAGGCCGTGTGTGTGTGTGGGGGGGACACCTAAGGCGCCCCCCTCCCAGCAAAGTTTTCTTTTTCGAAACAAAGAAGTTTTTCTCCCCTCGGTAATTACCGGGAACGGGGGGGGGGAATTACAAAGGGAAATAATCCCCTTCAAAGCTGGACGAGGACCTTCGCGAGACAGACCCCCTTCTATTTTGGGGCAGGGAGGGTTGCTACTGGTGGAGTCGTTTGGGTCCGGAGTAGGAAGGCAAAGAAACACAAACACAAATCACCCACCCCATTTTCTTTCCAATTTAATATAATATAATAATCCCCGCGCAGTTCAACTAAAATCTATGGCGTTTTACTTTTTTCGGGTAAGGCTACTCGAAGGATGGAAACTTCGAAACAGATGCGGTTCGTTGACTCGAGGGAAGTCGGATCCCTTCAGGAAACCAGAAGCGGCGGCCACTGAAGTTACCCGACAGTAAACGTCTATGGAGATTTTCAGTTATCCGGGTCTTGGTTGTCCCAAAGGTGCTTTTTCAAGGGGCCCCTGGACCCCCTTTGTTTTTCTTTGCAGACGTTTCGCTGCTGAAGAACTTCTTGGAGGAGAAGCGAAACGTCTTCAAAGAAAAACAAAGGGAGTCCAGGGGCCTCTTGAAAAAGCACCTTTGGGACCCGGCAGTAAAGTTTGCAGCACAATGCCTGGACCCCCTTAAAGGCGCACTAAGAGTCAAGGCGTTTCCTTCCGACGGCTTCCCCACACCGCGTGGGGGTTATTTTCCTGTCTTTTGCCTTGTTCCAAGCTCCGCTTTGTTTCGAAAGTCTGCCAGCGCAACCGCTGTGTTCAGATTGAACGCCCCACGCGAGAAGCTGCTCTGGTCCGCCCAGCCCCACCGGCCGAGGCCGGGAGAAAAGGCTCGCCAAGACCCAGCAGCGCCCGCCTCTGCTCACCCCGCCCTTTAACTCTTCCTTGAGGGAAGAAGGCTTCGCTCCCGGGGGGGGCGAATGGAGCGGAGCGGGCGCCGCCTCCCCCCCTCTCCCAAAGAGAACTCCAGCCAATGGCGCAGCCGGACGGGGCCGCCCTGGCCGGGGCCACCTGTGGGCAGCGAGTCCAAGCGTGGCATCGCCACAGCCCGACCGGCCGTTCGCGGCCAAATTACTCGAGAGCGGGCTCGCCTCTCCCTTTCCCCCCCCCGCCCCCCCCCACTCATCGTGAAGGCGGCGGCAACCCGTCCCTTTCACGCTGCCCGCTTTTTCAGTCGCCGAGAGGCGTGCGAGCCCCACTAGTGCCGGAGAAGGGAGTTTTTCCGCGGGAATCGAGCGCGGGAGATGGGGCTAACGGCGCGCCTCGCGTCTGGAAGCTCCGGGCGCGGCCTGCCGTCGGCTTTCGCCGGGGACCCGGAGCCGCGCGGAGCTCCCCTGGTTGAGGCACTGGGCGGGAGAAACAGCGGAGTGAGGGGGGGGGGGAGAGAAGAGAGGCACACGGTAAACAGCAAATTAATAAATTCTAATCTGGCTCTCAGGAACCGGCAAAGCGAATTAAGCGAGCTTCTCGTAACAAAGAGCAACGCGGTCCCCGCCGCTTGCTCGCCCGTCTCTCTTCTTCCTCCTCGGCCCAAAGGCGGGCAGGCTGAGGCGGTGGAATTTGTCGCCTTTGTTGAGGGGGGGGGACAGGCAAGGAGGGGGCAGAAATGCGGGAGGAGGAGGAGCAGGTCGCGTACGGCGTGGGGGAGATTTAGAAAGGGGGAGGAGAAAAAGGAGAGAGGGAGGGTAGAAGGGAGAAAAGAGCGAGAGAGGTTCTGTCCTGAATTTCATCCAGTCATCGACGAAGATAAGAGGTTTAATTCATTTAGCATATGAACGCCCGGCAGAAAGCGATTCCCATTATGAATACATCCAAAGGCACAAGGTGCAGTTTCCTCGTATTTACACTGGCACTTGTTATCATTTTAACCGGATTATTCACGATGTGGATCCTGTAACATATCGGGGGATTCGCCTTGCAACGCTTATTGTTCCCCCTCCCTTCCAATATAAGTCCCTGATCTAGATTGTGAATCTCTCTCTGCCTCCCCCCCCCCACCTCCAAGTTTTCTGGGGAGTTTTACATCCATTCAAACAGCAAAGAGATTTGAGCTCTGTCCAGACAGGAGTAGAACAAGATCCACATTTGTAAGACCCACTTCTGTCCCAAACTTTTCCCACTGCAAATAATCCTTTAGTTTATTTTTTTTTCAGAGTAAAACCCATCTGATCCAATTTCTGTTTAAACCAATTCAACTCACATTCAGAAGAATGAATTACTTGTCTTGGCACTGTTTTTTAAATATCCTTCAGACTTGTTGAACAGGGCAGAGTGTATCAATGCCAGATCCTGGGCTACAGGTTTAATTATAAAAATAAGAAGTAGCTTAGGCTTAAATCCTATACATTTTTTTTTATTTGGAAGAAAGCCCTGTGCTCAATACAACTCATTTGTTGATAGAGATATGTGGAATATGCTGATTTTTTTTTTAAAAAAATCTTTGGATACACATATAGCACATCAGCAATTTGTAAGTAGTTTGCTTCACAGAATTCAGCTGTATTTATTTTCAATGAATAAAAGCAAATTATTGTAGCTGAACAAATTAACAATTTATTGTAATTTACATAAACTTACAGGGACAGATGAGTGCCTAATCTTTGTGTAACACATTTGTAAAATAACTCTAAATATTAAACAATAAATAAGTCATTTATAATGATTACAAATAAAAAAGAGATTAATACTCTCCCAATTAGTTCCAATTTCTCAAATTGAAAAATATGTGTGTGTGTGTGTGTATGTGTGTGTGTTTTGGGCTGACAATTACACCACAGTGTCCTAGAGAAATACCTGGATTTGAAATGTATAATAAAGCAGCCCAGTCCAGCTATGATAAGAAAGATCCAGCTTTTATTGAAAAATTATACATAACTTGGTATTGTAATAAATAAACATAACCATTTCCACAAAAATGAGCATGATGCTAGAGAAGGATATATTTACTTGCAAGATTTTGCAAACAATGGCAAGACAGACCCCTGATGGATACAGAATAAATATTAACAGCACTGTAGAACCAGACTGCAGAGGTCCAGCACAAGATCAAGAAAAGGGAACTAAACTAACAGGTAAATAAATAATTAATAAAAAATGGGGTAGCCTCAAAAGAAGAATTTTCTGTAAACTGATCATACTTCAATTAGCCTTATCTTTACAATCACTTCCTTTTTTTTTAGGTTGCAAGTCTCTTAAAAGATTGGTTAAAAAGAATTGCTCTCTGAGCACATAAGAAAGCCTTAAATTTTATAATTGTACTTACAATGAAAGTGTAAAACTGCAGCTGAAAAAAGCATGTAAATATAGCACATTGAAAGAAATTGTATGAGTATGATCGAACAATAAAATGGTTGATAACATATTTAATATTACATATGGCAGAACTAGAGGAAACAATTGAGCATATATTTCCTTCTTTCTGTGCTATGTAACTACATAGAACAATGTATTTGCAAGTTCTTTTAACTAAAAATATAATGCTAGGGTTTTCTCCCTTCTTACACAACTGGATGGCTGCTTAAACATTTGGGAGCAAACTTATTTAAGATAATTAAACCCACAAAAAAATCCTGGTGGAAAGCTATTTCTGAAACCCTGTTGTTTGAATGAAAAGGGGGAAGAGAATCAGAAAACAATTTAAGATAAAGCTGATCTGGCCAAATGGAAAATTCTGAAATTTTAAGAGGTCTGTTTGTGATTTAGTTGTCTAGTCTTGGTGTTGGCATATATCCAAAATGTAAGAAGGCTGAAGTTACAAAAAGTGACAGTATCTCGGGCCATGACAGTCATTGAAGGATACATTTCTCTTCTTTCTTGGCCATTTTTCCTTTGTTTTGTTCAAGTGTTCTTTCCAAATGCTCATCTTCTTCTTCAGCCCTAAAAAAATCAAATACAATTGTCAGTAGTTTTCCTATCAAAATTCTGCTTTACATTTCAATGTAGTAGTTATGCACAGCTAAAGGAGTTTAGGGAGTCACTTCAGGGACCAGGTTACACCATCTGTTTCCATAGGTAAGAACTAGTAGCAGATCACGTTACCAAAATGCAGGATTTAAGGAGATTTAATTGCTTCTATGCCAGATGATTGACCTTCTCTTGAAGGCTTTTTTTCTTGAATATAAAACTTTAAGAACAATGCAAAGAAAACTTGATCTTATTACTGGCATTCCTCAAAAATATGAAACTTACTGTTTTTCTTGGGCATCTAAATCTCTGACCAGCGCATCACGTTTATTAACGAGAATAACAAGTTCATCTAGCAAAAGTTGCTCCCGCCTCTTCTGAGCTTCAGTCTTTTGCCAGTCTGAAAAGAGAAGAAATCCAGAAATGTGTCCTTTGAGAGCTTAATATACCTATGATCTAAACAAATCAGTGTCACCGGGCTGGTTTCCCTAGAGATCTATATAACTACAAGAAATCTAATTTGACTTCTTCAGATTCTGTTTGATAAAATAAGACCCAATATTTTTCAGCAGTATTTAAGAAAAACCTATGAAATTTTTTTGAGTAATACTACTCAATAACATAAATATGTATGAAATGAAACAAGATTTTTTTGGGAGGGATTGTGGTTTTTCTATATTCATGTTTGTGGGGAAAAACATTTTACTCAACAAATCATATTTAAGAGAAGATACACAAAAGATTGCATTTTTATTAATGTTTATGCACTCGTTTTTATTACACATTTCCTAAATAACTTCCACCCCCTTCCAGTGTATTACAGAGATTCTGTTTCTGAACCAGAAAAAGATAGAGATTGAAAACTGCAAAACAACATACAATAAAACTTTTACCACAATGCAATTGCCTTTCTCTTCCAAATTGATTATAATTTTCCTTTTTTTCCCCTTTGCTATATCTTAGCAGTTGAAAATACCCACACTGATCACTAGGCGCCTCAGAATAATTTTAAAATGAGAATCAACAATTAGTGCCTCCTATGAAATCGAAGTACATCTACTAAATAATATTACTCAACTTTTTTCCATAATGATTCAGATTGCTTGATAGTTTCTCTAATAAATTGAATCTTAAGTTCACAGAATCTTAAGTTTCCAGATTTGTAGACAGCCACAATATGAATACTTGCATACGTAAGAATTTATATCTTTTTCTTCTATTGTTTAGGTTTGCTTTATTTTTTTTATTTCAAGAGGTCATAAAGGAATGAGATTCTATCATATTTAGTCAGGTCTCTTTGCTGATATCTCTTCTTATAAGACAAACAGTATCAATGTTTCATTAAAAAGGGCAGTTTTAACACTGGAGCACACCAAACAAACTGCTCCAGAGGCCAGACAGCAAGGGCCTGTATCTGTCACTCAACTACCACCCTATCCCGCCTCCCTCATTAGGAAGGTAAACAATGAAGAGAAGGAGAAGTAGATGATGAGGGAGATAGAGGAACAAATGAGAAGCAGGAGGGAAACAGGACACCCACCTTCTTTAAATCAACAACAACAACAACACAGAAAAACACTCCGTAGCTTCTGACTCATGTGGTGTCCTCTATCAACTTTTCAAAAAAAAAAAACCAGAGGAAAGGCACTGGAAGTCTTTTGGATTTCTCTCTTCCCTGTCCATTGCCCTGAGCAATCATGTTAAGCCTCACATGGCTGGTGCTTATTCAGATAAACCTAACAATGCACCCCAATGGTTACCATGTGAATCTTCACAAACCACACAAGAATGTGCTGGTTCAAATCCCCCTGACCCCCCCTGCAAAGCAAAATTTATTCAAGGCAGAAAACTGTTCAGGAGCTTTATGCAAGCAAGTAGTGCCAGAGTGAATTTGGTTTTGTATTTACAAATTAAAAATTAGATGCAGATTCATCCAATAAAGCTTAGAACAGCAATAGAAAACCAGGAATGTGTGGACCAGTCTTTAAATTGCTTTCCCAATATGCATAGTTAGCATATGCATACTAATAGACATAAGGGGAATGGATGCTCATGCAGAGAAGCAGAAAACAACTATTTTATTTAGATATCTCACTGAGAAGAAGGGGAACTAACAAAAACTTTACCCTTTAAAAATTACAGGTTCTCCTATTATTCAACAATAGCCAGTACCTGCATTTTACTTTAAGAAAAAGCATGTTTCTAACCTATACATATAGAGAGCCAATTTGGAGTAGTGATTCAGGCATCAGGCTAATAACTAGGAGGCCGTGAGTTCTAATTCCACCTTAAGCACAAAGTCATCTGGGTGATCTTGGGCCAGTCGCGCTCTCTCAGCCCTTGGAGGAAGCAATAGCAAATCACTTCTGAAAAACCTTGCTAAGAAAACTGAAGGGACTTGTCCAGGTAATCTTTGAGAACTGGACACCATTGAATGGAAGAAAAATAACCTCTATGCATAACATTGTGAAAATGTTACATTTCAATTCCTATATTTGGAACTGGAAAGCAAAGCTGGAACAACTACTATCTCTAGATTGAAAGAATGTCCAACTCTGTTATCCAAAATACTGTTCAAAACCCATTCTTTGAAATAAAACCAGAGATTTCAGAAATTCATTTTTTATGTAAAACCGGTTTAAGCAAAGCTTTCTTTATTGGATAACTACCACACTTTCATTAAGATACTAAATGCAATTTTATTTACATTCAGAAGTAAACAGTGTGAAATAATCTCATCAAAGTAAATAATAAGACATGATAATTCTGCTGATCACACCTTGGGATAATAATCAGATACCCAAAATTATAAGTCCTGAAGTCTTAGTTGAAAACATTTTTGAACAATCTGCTTAAGCAGTCACCTGAACCTTCTTCAGAAAAAAAGTTCTATTAATTTCAGGTGAACTCACTTTATTCAAGTACAAGTCCCCCCCCTCTTTCTCTCTCTCTTTCCTGACAACTGCAAATTTGGCACTATTGGCCAAGATACATTCTTAAAAATATATATAAAAATATGTTGCTTCAAACAGCAGCTATGTTCCCTCCCATGCCACAAAGAAAACTGCCTTTGAAATTAAAGATAATTGGTTATATCTCATAGATGTAAGTCAGCGGTTCCCAACCTTTTCTATACCCCGCACCCGTAGAACACTTCTGATATTTTCTTGCACCCCTTACAAAAGTTCAAAATAACGGCAACAAATTATGCATATACACTCTAATTTTGAAAACCCAAGTTTTTGCACCTCCTGGAATATCGTCTCGTACCCCCAGAGGGTGCGAGTGCCCCCGGTTGGGAACCCCTGATGTAAGTTGTTTAAAGGGGGTAAAAAACCAAAACTTCTATTAGGATTAACACTGCAATTCTATACATGTGGAATATTATGTCCCAAATAAGTCCAATCAGATTTTCTTTCAGGTAAGTGGGTATAGGGCTGCAACCCAAAGAGTCTGTGTTTCTTTAACCCTTTGGGTTCTGGGTATCATTAGTCTTATTTCTGACAGGGCTGCAACCCTTTGACCTCTCTCTCTCTCTCTCTCTCTCTCTCTCTCTCTCTCTCTCTCACACACACACACACACACACACACAAACTATCTATCTATCTATCTATCTATCTATCTATCTATCTATCTATCTATCTATCTATCTATCTATCTATCTATCTATCTATCTATCTATCTATCTATCTACCTACCTACCTACCTACCTACTTACCTAATCTATCTATCTATCTATCTATCTATCTATCTATCTATCTATCTATCTATCTATCTATCTATCTATCTATCTATCTACCTACCTACCTACCTACCTACCTACCTACCTACTTACCTAATCTATCTATCTATCTATCTATCTATCTATCTATCTATCTATCTATCTATCTATCTATCTATCTATCTATCTATCTATCTATCTAATAGGGAAATGGCCATCTCTTACAGAATTGACTGCAGTATTAATGATAATCAGGGCTTTTTTTCTCGGAGAAAAGATGGCGGAACTCAAACTTGGCCACGCCCTCATCAAACCCTAGGACCGCCCCTTTAGAGAACAGGAATGCAAGTAAAATTTGGGAGGGGCTATTTCCGGTGTGGGAGGGGCTATTTCCGGTGCGGCCGGCCCGGAAAAAGGTGCCGGAACGCGGTTCCGCCGCGTTCCGGCTGAAAAAAAGCCCTGATGATAATTATAAACCTTTCACTCTATTCCTTTGTACTATAAGTGGTTGTCTATCTAGACTCATCAACCATTGCCTTATATTAAGTATTTGTATGTCATATTCAATTTTTAAAGAATTTTATTGTTTAATGTATATTCATAACAATAACAGATGCATTTGTTTTACTGATGTTTATATCTTTGTATTTTTATAAAAATACCATGACAAGCATTCTGGAAGAAAAACATCAGAATGAAAATGATCAAAGTTTTACAATTAAAAAATAAAAAACAAAACTTTCCAGGTTGTCACTATAAAATAAGACTTACACTTTTGATGAAAATTAACATGAGTTTTGTAAAGAGCATATTGGGTGACTGTAGTTAAGATCTTAGCTTTAGTACCAGTCAACTGACAATCCTGAGTTTGCCGCCGCCTCCTCCTCCTCCTCCTCCTCCTCCTCCTCCTCCATCATTTGATAGAATTCTACTGCTGAACCTAATCAATCTATAGAGTACTGTGGCCAGAACTATGTAACAAAACTTAAATAGATTTATAAATGGGGTTTTAGAGGATAAGCTCCTCCACAGGATTACCTATTGATTTTAAATATAAAAAGCTTATCATATAAATCATAACTACAAAAATAGTGAACCCTATGCATAAATCCTTTAAGAAGTGCCCACACTTCAAACTTGAAGCCAAGAATAAATGTAGAACATTCTAAAGAAGATCCATTTCTTGGACAGAAAACTGTGCCTCCACCCCTCCCCTCGGGTGTGCAAAACATGAACATAATCTTTTTCAGGAAGGCTTTAAATATGAACCCAAAGGACCATGCCTGCATGAAGATTCTCAACACTCTGTTAGTGTCAATGAGACAATTTGATTCTGCAGTAATTATGAACCTCCTTCATGTTTCATGAAAGCACATACGAACAACCAGGCAACCCATTCTGAGATTCAGCCCTTCTTAGTCATGTAGTGTAATTTTATTCTGTTCCAAAAGTTAAGATTGCTACAAAGCTGTTACATTACTAGTAAGACTACAAGTCAAAAGGTCAGGTTGTGGATCCCTTTCTTAAAGGTGACGTGAATCGGAACTCAGTGCAAGTCTGAAAAGTGTCTGCTCCACAGCTTGAGAATGAGAGCTTTGGAGCAATATACAACTCGAAAGCAAAGCTGACCAAATCTTTTATAAACTCTAGCTAAATGTCTCAGGATGGGAATGAGCAGCATCTGCATTTAAGTACATAACTGCAAATAGATAGATTATATGTTGTTCTATAGATATATATTAAACTATTTATATCCCTGTTATTTGTACAATTCTAAATATGTCGCGATTAAACTCCTCAACAATTTCATGTTAAATAGCACGTTAGGACAACACTGAACTCTGTGAAACTGCATATTCAAACGATGGGACGTCAAACAGCATCTCCTAGTATCACCTCCTGAAATTTGCTCTCCAGCTGGGAAATACTGAAACCACTGCAGAACTATACCTTTCAGGCTGCGAATATGCAAGCATGGCTATATACACAAGGCCAACACTTTTGATGGAAATAAGGTTATAGGATTATTTAAATCTTCTATTTACAAAGCATCATAATCTACATATTTGCTTGTTCTAAGGCTTGGATCTCTATATAATAGAGCTTTACAAATTATGGCTGGAGGGTGTGTAGCCCAAACCTTTGCTATAGCCCCCTGAAAAAATCTGTTGACAAACTTTGTTAACCCATCCCCATTGCTATCACCCTGCAGTGGCACAAAATAGTGTAACTCGTGCTGGTCATGGAGTAAGGTTTTGTGCAGTTTCCTCTGGTGACTGGAATAGATCTGGACTGGCCACTGTTCTACCCAGCTGGAAGTTAAGTGCCATGCATATACAACTAATTTCCTTATCACACAAAGAAAGAAACAAAGCAAACAACATTTTTCTCCTGCTCGGCTACTGCATTTTCAGCTGCCTTGTCCACCGCATGTGGACAATGGTGACTTTATTTCTATTAGCCTTTACTTTTGTTTTTGAAGTGAAGGTTTGCTGAAGTGGTGCTCAGATGTTGCTGTCTTGATTTACTGCTTTCTTGGCCAAGCAAGTCTACTTTTCATTTGTCTATTCACAATTGCTCATTTTTCCAGGAAGGAGAGAGTGACAAAATAAGAAATGGTAACACAGACATGTGTGCCAGAAAAAAAAGAGAAAGCGCTCTCGAATAATGGAATTGGTAATTTAAAAAAAATATCTTGGGCCAGTTGATTAACAGATCAAGAACCATTTCTTGATGTTCATGATTGCTAGGAGATATTGGGAGATGGGCAGGCATTGCTTCTGATTTGTTCCCCTGGTTCCCACTGATAGAAGATCCCCAAAGGCCCTGGTTGCAGGAGAACTGCCTCCAGAGATTTGCCTGTACACCTCTGTAAAAACCAATATAAGTTAATATTCCCACAGGATGAAGGAGATACTATGAGGATTCTTTAGGATGAATTGACATCAGTTGTATAGATACATGGTGTGCAAGGAACAATCAACTGAGAAATTTTAAAAAAATACTGTATGGGATTGTTATATGTGGGTATGTTTATATGCATTAAGAGGGGGGAATCATTGTATATACATATGTATGTGTGAGTATGTTTGTGCGTTTAGAAATAAATGCGTTTAGTAATTCAATTTGTTAACAGAATGAAATCATATAAATGGAATTTAATGGATATAATTTCTATCACGTCTTCACCCATTTTTTGGAGTGTGGCACCTGGAATATCACTCAAAACCAAGTAAGTTCTTCAAGTAACTCCTGGTTTTGAGTGAACAAGAAGTTGTGCCATTTGAACACTGTCATGATGCATTATAATTGTGTTAACAGAGTACCAATAGCTCCCCAGTACGTACATTCAGAATGAAATAGAGTGGGATAACTTGAGGGCAACATCCTCAAATGTTGGCCCAGTCCCTGGAAGATGTAAAGGTTTGGATGGGAAAGAACCAACTTCAACTCAACCCTAGCAAGACAGCGTCATTCTGAATTTTTGGACATCCTGAATCCAGTGATATGTAATCTTTGATTCTTGGACAGAGCTGTTGTACAATTTGGGAGTCCCTCGGACTTAAACATTCCTGCTCAAGAAGGAAGTGGCAGCCATGACTGAGGAACCTTTGCAGAGATCCATCTTGTGGGCCAACTGTAGCCATTCCTGGAGCAGGAGCCCTTGCTTACAGTCATTCACGCCCTGTCAGTTCTCTGTTGGATTACTCTAATGTGCTGTACATAGAGTTGCCCTTGAAAACCATCAAGAAACTACAGCTGGTGCAGAACATACCAACACTATACTGCACTATTGCTGCTTAAACTGGACTGGCTTCCAGTTTCTTTTCAGAAACAATTCAGTGTGTTGGTTATCACCTTAAAAGCCCTAAATGAGGCAAGGCTACTTGTGGGGTTTCCTCTCCTTGAAAAATTATATCTGTTCCACCAGGCCAGATAACGTTGGTGTGTTACAGCTCCCTTCCCTTAAATGTTGTCATCTAGTGGAACTTGGGGAAGTGCACATTTCTCTGTAGCTGTCCTGGCCCTGTGGAATAACCTTTCCCCAGAGATCCAAGCAAGTGACCGATGCTGCTTATCTTCCAGGAGGCCTTGAACAGTTGGCTGTTCCCACAAGTGATAGGGTAGAATGAAGCTAGAGCCCTGTAAAATTGATGTATTAAAGAGGTACCACACATTTTGATTTAGCTTTTGTTAATTTTTATTCAGCTTGTTTTAGAGATTTTGTGGTTTTTACTGCTTTATGCACTGCCTTGGGTTATGGTCACAATATGGGTGGCTAAACGAGTCTTTTTTAAAATAAATAAATAAAATGTCTCACAAGTAGACTTTTGCTTGTTCAACAAGATTTTTTTTCTCCTTGTACCCACTCTCAGATCTGTTCCAGATTTAAAGTCTTGATTTCCAGGACACAGTAAAGGTAATAGTTAGAAGTGTAATTTTTCTTGTTCCACTGATTGAAAATGTTCTGTTTGTAGATGAGACTAATTGCTAAATTTTTGAATAAAGTTTAGTTGCTAGGAAATGATTGATAAATGTTATCCAATTTAAAAAGTCCACTAAAAGAGGAGACATGACAATTGCTGTTAAAATCATTATAATGTGTGTGTGTATGAGAGACAATATAAGGTTTCTGTCTCTCAATATTATTCTTAAAATATGATTTATATTATTGTTTAAAAACCAACACATTGCTACTTCAAGCAATTACTTAAGCATCTTTCAAGCCTTAAAGCACAGTGGTCTAGAAAACGATACTTTCTAGATTACTGGGCTTAGAGTTTTCTTTTAAAATATATTTATAGCTGTCAGGTCCCTTTTTAGAATATGATGAACATGTTCTGGATGTAGATTTTATTCAGGATTTCTATTATTTTCAACTTTGGTTAAGAAAATACAAAGAGGTGGATTAGAAAGCTACCTGGCACTTCATGGCTTTCCCCTCCAAACTCATGCTTTCAGTAAAGCCTCTAACCTAATTAGAATTGATTTATTATGGATCAGGTACCTTATCAGGTGAAGAAGGAAATTACCATGGTCAGTCAAAGGGTTAGGAGGTCAATACAGAATAGCAAAATCAATTTAAATTGATTAGACAAAAGATCCATCTCACACATTTTACAGAGCCCAAAGGATTAACTTTTAAGTAAACATCTTTGAACTGTAAAGACAGAATTTGAGGTTGAAAGATACAAGTAATGACAGATTTATTAAAAAAAAACAATAAGCAGGGTGCATTTAAATAACTAATACAGTAAAGCTAGTTTAATCTATCTTGATGTTTATTTTTTATTATAAATCATTCCCTGGATGATTACAGTAATTTAAAGTATCAGGAAGAGTAGGTAATTGTACAATATATCCCTAGGTCAATCTATTCAGAGGTTTCCATTTAGATGAGGTGACTAGCCTTTTAGAAAGCTAAAGAATGAATAAAATATATCCAAAAGATGGTTCTAATTCTTTTGCCCAATGAAGTATTAATTTAACAAAAGCATATTTCCACTGAAGACAGATGAGGCCTGCCTAAAATGTTTACCTTATCAAAATGAAATATACTTTTTCTTTATTTTGTACTGAAGCAAAAATAGCGCTATGTATCAAAATAAATGCCACCCAAATTATCATGAATTTAACTTCATTTTAATAAGGTGTATTGGGAGTTTTACATTTTTTCCAGACTCAGGTTTTCAACAAGGTCTAAAAAGTTTCTTTTCCACAGAGAAAAAAGTATCTTTTAAAGTATTCCTTACCTTCAATAGCAAGCATGGCTCTTAGCTCCCTGTTCAGTAGTTCGTACCGCCTTTCTAAGTCATGTTCTTTTTCCCTGGGCAAATTGTAGAAGTTCATCAATATGTTAATTACTAAATCATTAAATGTTTAAAAGAACCTTTAATTTTGATTGATTTTTAGGACTCTTAAGCTGACTTTTTCTCTAGGATTAAGCTACTCTAAACAAATGATATGCAAGAATAAAACCTTATTCAGATAGGATCAGTGCTTCCAAATGCTCCTTATATTAACCTGCAACATTCATTGGAAAGTACTGTCTACAGTACTTTCTACAATGCTATTGCACAACAGCATCTTGAAAATGTCTCATTTACATTTCTCTTCAGTTTGTAAATATTTTAAATGTTTATTTCTGAATATTCTGAGGCAAGCTTTGACTTCTACTAGGTCAGTGATGGTGAACCTTTTAGAGACCGAGTGCCCAAACTGCAACCCAAAACCCACATATGTATCGTCGGGTGCCGGGTGGGCATGGCCCATTGGGTGGGCGTGGCTACGGTGGTAACAGCAAACTGGGTGGGACTAAAAAGTTCAATCAATCAATTCCAACTTTGCAAGATCTTTTTTTCCCCATGAGAAGTTGAATTTGACTGATTGAACCTTTTTTTTGGTACACGGCGGCGGAGGCCTAAAGCAAAAAGATTTTATAAAACCCAGCTGAAGGCCTAGGACTGGGGCAACGGCGCGCATGCCCACAGAGAGGGCTCTGAGTGCCGCCTCTGGCACCCGTGCCATAGGTTCGCCACCACTGTACTAGGTAGACCACAATCTGTCTTGGCTCCAGAAGGTCCTGTGTTCCATGTAGCATGTAACCTGGAGCCAGTGCTTTGCATTTCACTGCTCTCAGCTAAATATCTTTAACAAATAGTTAAAAGCTAGAAAAAGAATATATATGGTGGAATATATATATATATTCCACCAATTCTACCCTGGTTAAGAAAATATCATTCAATCAATCTTTTTAAATCCTTTCATTTAAAACTAACTAACAAACTAAGAGGCCTGAAGAAAGGATCAAGTCAATCCATTATAATTATAAATAAAATTGGATAATAAGTAGATGGAGGGAACAAGTATGGCTACAATGAGAGGTCAGCCTAAGTAATCATGGCTTAAGTGCAACTTGTTTCTCCAAGACCCCTATGCACGCTTGGTGCATGCTTTTGTTGGAGCACAGTACATCAAAATAGCAGGGAACCCCAACTATTAAGCAGCCCGAGATTGCTGCTATTGCTTCTGTGATCTGAGTATCAGAGGTGGAAATTCTGGAGTTTGCAGAGTTCAGCATTCTTCATTTTTTTTTAAAAAAATCCTTCTGGAATACTAGCAAGTAATACACTGAAGAGGACAGAAGAACTGCTGTACAGTAATGATCAGGGCTACCATCAAGACTAATAGCCATCATTGCTTCATGGAAAGACATTCATTTTCGTATGTATTGCACAGAAAAAATGGTGGAATGTGTACCTCAAAACCATCCTGTCAGAGTTGAGTGATTTTCTGAAAGGGTCTTGTGTATTTTCAAACAAGGCTTGCCCTTCATTTTTTTTTCATTTTTATCATTCATCTGACAAAATAGTTTCACCTTCATTTCCTTTAATAAATAGCTTCACCTGTAGTCCTGTAAAATGATCTTCCACTCTCTGCTCTTGGCCTGAAGCTTTTGTTTAAGAAGTATCGGATGACAATGGTGTTTGATACTTGGAAACCATCCAGTTTGGAAGTTAGTTCAAGATTTATAAACCATGATTTGTGAAGTTGGGAACCCAGATTGACATCATGTGTTCTTCCTAAGGCCTCTCCTCCTATCGCACTGTAGGATGTGTATTAGGTGTGTGAACCCATTTCATGTTTATGTGAGGAAACTCTGGCTTAGTTCAGTTTACAGACCTGGATAATAACCCAGAGATTTTAGGGAACAACTACCAATCAGAGCATGCAATACTGAATTAGATGCACAAATGGCATGAGCTGGGATAAAGTTCTGGTCTGTATTATTTGTAATGTTGAAGCTGTTTATATTCTCTTCACTTCCTATACTGGAAATTTCTGTATCTGCCTACGAGTAGGTAAAATGGGCATAACAAAGAATGTAGACAATACATATCACTTATGCCTCACTTCTTCCCTATTTCAACTATTATTTAAAATTTCATCTAAATAGGTCACTTTTTCTGATTGTCAGGCCTACCATTTAATATAAATTGTATTTAGACATTTCCATACCAGAATGAATTCATTTGCTTTGTATATGTATTCACACTTTTCCCCTACTGTATATTATAATCTGGAATACATTTGTCTTCCACTTTATAGGTGTTAGAAAGAGTTTCAGCATTCAATTCGATGGTAAAACTAAGAATGTTGGCATATTTCTGTTCAGCATAACATTTGTATATAAATCTGTTATGTTCTATTTTTTTCATTAATTTTAGCAAATCCTCACAAAAACTCCATTATTGTTTTTGCTCAGATAATATGTATTTTGAAATATCTTTTATATTTCATATCTATTTTACTAACCTTATTATTTTTAAATAGACTAAGTAGCACTAACAAACTCAGAAAAGAACGAAGGTCTGAAGACCAAAATGTTCTAATTTGTCCATTGGTTCTTATCAGGAAATGCAAAGAGTGACTGACTTGTAGGAACTAATGCCTATGTGGGTTAGATCTCTACCACTCACATGCAAAAAAACTGTGAATCTCTCAATTAAAGTAGAATGGTATGTAGAGGAACCATTACTTTTCATGTTCCAATATTTGACCATCGTACTATTTTACAGAAGTATATGTTTTGTAAGCTTCTATCTGAAATGAGTGAAAATTGAATTATTTCTTAATTATTTAATAAATTTTCACTACATATGAGGAAATATTCTGAAATATTCTGCACCAGAGACAAATTCCTTGTGTGTTTATTTATACTTGGCCAAATAAAGCTATTCTGTTCTGTTCTGTTATTTTCTGTTCTGTTATTTTCTGTTCTACTCTGCTCTGCTCTGCTCTATTCTATTCAGCAGTGGTTCTCAATCTTTTCTTCACTATGGAGCCTTTTAAACACCTTTTCTGGCCACAGATCATGGCCATGGACCCCCCAAGAGTTAACTTAAGATTTAAATCATAACATTTATTCAAGCCTTTCTGGACTCCCTGTGACGTCCACAGACCATAGTTTAAGAACCACTGCTATAAAGTATTCTAAAAGGAAGCAGAAACATTACCAGCTTTTGCACTGTCATTCATAAATCAAGACATACTTACAGAAGAGAAAGTTGATTCATTCTTCTTATCAAGGCATTTTTCTTATTGACTAACATAAACCATTCTTGCATCATAGCTTCTTCTTCTTCAGTATTTCTTCCTATTAAAACAGAGTAGTTTGATTTATATTTTAAAGACTCAATGATAAGTCAGCGTAATTTTTATTTGGCACAGAGTTTTCAGCCTCATTTAAAAAAAATCCATGTACAGGATCCAAAGAGCTCAGTGATATGCCATTTCAGCCTAAGCTTTCCTTTTGACAGCAGTCCTCATCAGTGTCTAAAAGCTGCTCTCAATATTATTTGGCTCATCCAGACTGCAAAACACTATCACGGAAGAAAAAAAGTTCCAATTTCTTATTGAGCTATTTAACTGAGGCATTTAATATAGTCTCTTCAATCAGTTCTATTGAAGGTATAGTTGGAAAACAACAACAAGAAGTTAATAGCTAGCTAAAGCAAATTCAACAATTTTAGGCATGTTGTTAAAATCTAAAAAGAACTAATTAAAAATATTTTAGAACTTCAAAAAATATTTTGGAACACCAACAAATAAACCATAAACATTACTTGTTTATAAAGCCTATTTCAACCACTGTATTATAAAAACCTTGCCCGCTATCAAAAGAATAAAAACAAAACTAGCCTGACTTCCCTTGACAAGGAATTTGAAGGAATTATTGATTGGTCCCCCTCTTGCTTTCTTGTCAGATTAGAAGGGCTGTGGATTAGAAGGAAAAATGGTGCTTTGGAAGTGCTCAAGTAAGTTGTGTCCATAGCTCTGTGAAGCACATCTTCCTTTTCCTGGGATCTCACATCTTCCTTCCATAGCCAGTGGAAGAGATCACTGTTTAAGGGGTTGCCAACAGGGTAAAACACGTACCCATAGCATGTATACCCAAAGCACCTTTCCCCTTTAAATCTGAAGTAATTATAGTACCAAAATTACTCTTGTGATTACAGAAGGAGCATCTTCCAAGGATATTAACATTGAATAGGTGTATTATTAGAGAATGTGGATTTCCAAACACTTTGTCATATTGGTTCATTGATCAGAGTCAGCTAGTTAAACTATATCCCAGTGGCCTATAAAGCCACTGAAATATGAAAGTTACATGTTTCTTAGAATGGCCTCTGTTTAAACATTTTGCAGAATTCATTACAGTTCTCCAAATGGAATATTGCTAGCGCATGTATTATCACAGTCACCCAGGACAACTCTAGAAATGGGGGGGGGGGGGAGAATTCATGAGTTAGGCTTAATTGACCCAAGGTTCAGAGACGATTCCAGGAATTTGTCCATGATATGAATCTGAGTTTGCCAGGAACATTCTCAAGATGTGAGCTTTGCAAGAACAGTATAATGTAGATTAACTTTCTGCTACTTCAACAGACTTTTAATTGTCAGAGCACCTCTATCTTCCTGTGATTAACATTTCTTGGTTTGTTGCCTCAAATGAAATAGAGAGGGTGGTGCAAATGAAAAAGATGAGTTACTAAAACCAAAAATGTTACTCTCATAGTTAGATTCTCATAGATATTTTTATTATAATGTATAATATAATTTGAAGGATTTCTACAATGGAGACAATAAGGGAACAGTAAGGACTTTTAATGCTAACTGACATAAGCACCATAAGTCTCTTTATTGATTCTGGATCTTCTTCAAATTAAGAATACAGCTATTTACAACAAGCCACAAGCCACATAAATCTTATATATGTGTATTCAAAGGCTTTAAAAAAATCAAGTGAAACCAAATAAATAAAACCAAATCCCAGTGAGTTATGTCAATAGGGGACAAGATGAAACTCACAAACTGTATTCTGTGACTTCTTGACTTCTTAGAGATTTTACTATCGAAATTCAGTTGTAAATTGTCAAATAATTGAAGAATGATTTCTTATCATTTTTCTTCCTGCATCCCAATTCCACCCTCAGGAAAACTGTGCAACATCTGGCTCTCAGCATGGTATCTCTGCATTATGCCCTGCCCGCTGCGAACATTGAACACCAAAATAAAATAATGATTAAAAACAAAGCATCTTTGCCACAGTTTATCCTCCTCCACTGGACAACATGCTATGTATAAACTAACATTATTATCTACACACCGAACATGAGATTATGGTCCCGAGCAGAGTAGTTTGTCTAAGGAGAACTAATGGAGAGTTTTAGTTAATATTAGTTAAAACATTATTAATGTTAAATATTGATTTATCGAACATTTTTAAACCAGACACCTACAACTCAGCATTTCAAATGTACCATCATCAGATCTCTATTGACTGTGAGGAAATGCAGTATTAAGCAATAATTTATAATACTTCATTTATACAATACTGCAAATCGAAGCTCTAAAAGGTATATGAAGAAAGTTGTGATGCTATTCTGTACATACATTGTTATTTTGCACAAAAATGAAACTACAAAAGACCTATGTAAAAGTGGCTGTAAACTGTACCAATGTTACAATGACTTTTCTTTTTCATTCAATTAAAAACATTATTTATTCTTTGATAAATTAATTATAAGCTCTCAAAACAAATAAAGAGTTTAATTTAATAAAAAGTGAGTGTTGGGGTTTCTGTTCCGAAAACAAAGACAGGGGCACAAATGTCTAAAACTCATATATGAATTTTGGTAATCTTGACTGCATTTTTGTAAATGTTGACAATTTGTCAAGACTTGGAACAGCCAAAGAATTCATTTAGCTTTTGAATGCGGTGTCCACCAAACTTTGAAGACTGACTATAACAGGTGTAGCTTTTGCTACTCTGGAAGAGTAATAAAGTTATTTTCTTATTAGTAGATTAGCAGATAGGTGTCTAGAGCTTGCTGCTTTCAGTCCCTCATTTATGGTAATAACTGCCATTCCCATAACCATGCATTAAATGATGGAACTTTTCCTTAAATATTCCTGCTAAATTTAAAATACACGTGGAGAAAATTATGGTTGTAGTTGTGATCACAAGATATTAGAAATTCTAGGTACTTTCTCTTTTTCTTTACCAATGCCTCTACCACTTTTTACATTTAATGCAAATATTATTGATGCTTATAAATTGTCCTAAAATCATTACATCACCCTTATAGTAATAGGGCCATTTGACTACGTGTATACATGCACTCATGCATATTACTGCTTCCCTTCGATGCGCTTCAAATATTTGGATTCAGAAATGGGAAAAATGCAACAAAGAACCCAAAGAAGAATGTCAAAACAGCAATGGTGGACTGTAAGCAAGAAGAAGAAACCAGACCCACTCATATATTTTTAGCCCCTTGTGATGTAAGGGTAGGGAGACTACATGGTGCCATCCAGCTGAATAAGGCTTCACTGAGTTTAAACACAAACCCAAGACACAAAGACACATGCAGACACCACATGATAATGGCACCAAATTGCTTTGGGACAAAAAGGATTCCAAGTTATTAGAAAGGACTGGATAGAATGTCTTCTCTTCTTTCTACTAAAATGTCAGTAGTTTGAGTAATTTTGGGGTTAACAATACAGAAATACCATCAGCAAGAATTGGGCTTGTAGCACACTTTTCCCAAGGCTGTGAATACTTGATTGTGGGTCTCTGACTGTGTTAAAGGCCCTGTTTCCTGACTGTATTAACATCCAAGTAAAGGAAAATGCATTAGCATCCATTATAACAGTTTTACATGGAGCCATATATATTTATGTTGTACTCTTTTAACTGTTTTAATGCTTTATGATGTATGCCACCCAGAATCACTTGTTGAGATAGGAGTTATAGGAATCAAATAAGTAAATAAATAAAAATGGTTACTATTGAATATTTCATGCTCTCCCTTTCCTTATAGATTAGAACAAAAACCGGGAAATTTCCTATTGAGGAAATTGAGGAGTTTCTAGTTCACAAATAAATAGGGAAAGATTAAATAGCCATTCACAGTAAGGATACAATGCCACCAGCCTCTACTGCATTTTATACAGCATAAGGTGGCAGATTATTGCGTTGGAAGGATACACGTTCTGAAATTTGACAACAGAAGGATAGAAGGCTAAATAAAAGAGAATATGAAGTCCATTTCACCTATCTTGTCTCAGACAAAATGAGACCTTCTACAACATAGATGTCATCTAGACATGAAGGACTGTTGAGGAGAATATCACCAGGTGTTTTAGAAAGTATTCTCCAGGAACAGGAATTGACATGAAATAGCTAGATAGACATGATAGTTCTTTGGCTATCAGATTGATCTTGACTTTGCTATTGATTGAATGTGAGAACAAAACCAGAGAGAAAAAGAGGGAGAAAGAAGTTGGATAAAATATATAGTCTTGACAATAAGGAGAATGATTGGTATTAATAGAGGATAAAATAAATGTTTGAGAGAATATTGCTTGGCCTTGAATATTCTGAGTTTTGAATGATGGTTTAAAAAAAATGCAAGCGAGAACTGGTGGTAGGAGAAAGTCGAGTAAGGGTGATAGGCTGTACGCTACTTTGGCAGGAAAACAATGAGATTCAGTAAAATCAGAATAAAAGCTACATGGGTGAAATGTACTAATGTGAAAGCGGATAAATTAATGAAAAAGTTTTATGATAAATACCCTCACAAGCCTCGAGGGAATACTTAACCTGCTTTTTGTTTCCCCTACAGGAGATTCTTTCTTTCTGAGAGGGGCATACTGTCAACTCTACAAATGAGCATGGCTGCAGCCATTTTTCCTTAGTCATTTTTGGTTGCCACATAGAACGGAGGGAGGAGGGTTGCCTAGGTGCTTTGCTAGTCAAAATACTCTTTTGTCCTGTGGGAACCAAGGTCATCAGCTGCTCCCGAGACTGCAGGCTGGGCATTGTGAAAAAGGCCCGCCGAGAAGATGTATTGGAGAACGTAGTTGCTTGCATACTTTTAGGGGTGGGATTTTTTAACTTTTAACTTTGTATTGGGGAATTGTTACGTGCGTCTCCAGACTTGATTTCACTTTTGACGTGCCAATATTTTGTAATAAACATGTTCTTTGAGGAATTTGCGAGCCTCGGAGTTCTGCTTTATCTGTCTCTGTCGGTTAGAACCATGACAAATGGGGCAAGAGGGTTCCCAATAATAAGCGGGAAAGCAG